ACATGAACTTCAAAAATCACTATATCTACAAAACTCTAAGTTGGAAAGATAAGTATGGATATTTAATTTTATTTGTTGATAGTAATGCTCTCTCTGTCTCTCTCTCTAAATATCAAGCACTTTAATTACAAAGACTGTTTGTTTTAAAAGTGCTAGCCTTCAGAAGTACACTGGATGATCATTTTTTTCCTTTGCTTAAAGAAAAAAAAAAAAATTAAAAAGAAGAAAAAAAATAATCAGGAAATTTGGACAGATTGATCAATCTGTTTTTCTGTTGAGTTAACCAGCATTTCTCATATCTCTCAATGGACATTTCACACACCTTTGAAAATTCTGAGGAAACCATTTGAAATTTTATATATCACTTCATCAATTTAACACAATAATGTCAACTATTAACTGACCAGAATAAAATCTTTATGACTCTTTAAGCTGAAAAAGACCTCAATAGATAAAAAAGATAAAAATAAAAAAAATCAATTTTTTGGCATTTTACAACCATATAATCAACAGCTCTTAGTGTTGAACAATGTGTCCAAAGCCAGACACAGATATAAGCTAAATTTTTATCTGAACTGACAAGGAAGGAGATTATGTTGAAAAAGGAATATTTGCTGTGTAAAATAAATACAGAGAGGGTGTATTTTGGCAAGTTATCAGATATCACAGTTCTAAAAGTTATTGTAAACATATCGGATTTAGATTTGCATTTCATGGCATCAATAAAGGTGATCAAGTTTCCAAGGTTTATACAACTAAAGCAGTTAATTTCTTTTTAGCTGACTTTATCAACCTGAAACTCATAATTTATTTCTTCTCTACTTTATATTTTGGAAAACGTCTTTTGTTAAAAATCTTTACAATTCACATTGTTTGTTTGTTCTTTCTTTCTTTCCCCACCCTCTCTGTTCTTTTCATATCTAGGGCTAGAACAAACCAGTCTAACAAAACCATGGCACTGAACATGAAGATCTTGTGTTAGTTATCTCTGCAATTTTCTATACAGTGAACAAGTGAGTAAACCAAAATAGAAAGACAAAGATGTGTTTTCTCTCCAGATTTAACATGTATTGTGAGATAATTCTAAGAGGATTTGAGGACCTTGCAGAACTTACTATCAGCAGATATAAAATTAATAACGTAAGTGAGAGATGACACAATGTTGATAGCAGACTGAAAAGGAAAAACAAGAGAACTATTAGACAAGGAAAGCAAAAAAAAAAAAAAAAAAAAACTGAACATTAATTATAGATGTTTGTAAGCTAAAGGGGCAGCCAAAAGTGTGAGTTATTCATTGTGGATAACAAAATATCAAGCAGGTGCAAAAATTCTAATTATCTGGACAGTGTAAGAAAACACAAGATGTGGTAGAAAAATTTAAAGGCATAGAGAAATAATAAGGGAATGAATAATAACAAGAAATTAAGAAAAGAATGCTGGACTACTACGTAATGTCTCCTCTCCGATATGGCAGTGAATGAAGAAAAGACTGCAAACAAAAAAGATTTGGTTCTACCAACAAATCTTAAAAATATTATGAACAAAGAATTGTGACAAATAAAGAAATAAACAATCAGAAAGTTACAGGTGAAATTTTTATGATATGTAATGAAAAAAAAAGAAGGATTGGAGAATTTAACACCCACAGAAAGCAAGGGAAATAAAGAAAAGCAGTAAGTAACTTGACAAATTTGAGCAAATCATTGTTGCAAAAGAACAATACTGAAAGCAAAAAAAAAGAGAGGAAGCTGTGGAGAGTTATGAACGCCACATAAAGAGGGTCATATTAATGAAGTAAAAGAAGAGATGGATATTTGTCTTTTGGTTGATTCTTATTGGATGAAGTGTTAATAGATTCACTGTCAGTTCAAAATGGTATAGCTGATGATTATTAAATAGTCTTCTGTTGACATTTGAAATGGAAGCCATTGAATTTTATGCAGTCGTTGTCATATGATATTAAAATCTGTAGTTTGCTTATGAGTTCAGCAGCAAAGATGAAAACAACCATCTAAGCAACAGATTGAATAATGAAAATATTCTATCTTGAACTTCATGTATAAAATTCTAACCATATTCATTCCTGTCTTTTTTTTTTTAGTTCAGCTGCGAAGTATTCACTGTGTCCGGTGAGACAATATTTCTTTCCAGAATCTATTTTGCATATCTATAAGTCTACTATTCATCCATGCTTAGAATATGGCTGCCACATATGGTCTGGTGCCCCTGCTATTTATCTTGAGCTCCTTGATAAGATCCAAGGAAGAACCAGCAATATTATTGGTCCTGATCCGCAGTCACTGTCATGTCTTTCCTATAAATACTTTAATGATAATTGTTTGGATGAGCCCTTCAGTGTAGTACCTAGACTTTTTGAATTTAAACACAGTACAAGATTGGCATTGAGATCTCATCAATTTACAGTTGTGCTGGCTAGATGTAACAATAAGTTCTATGCTAACAGTTTCTTTTCTTGCACTTCTTGCTTGTGGAACTCTCTCCCAGTTCCATGCTTTCCAGCCAACTTTAATTTCCAAATTTTAGATGCAATGCCAATCACTATCTACTGTCCTGATTATTCTTTTTTCATTCTGCTCATCATTAATGTTTCTGTTTCCAATTCTTCCACATCCTGTAACTTGTGTTTTAGTGACATTACTACCTTGCATGTAGTGATACCAGTTTAAAAAAAAATCATCAAACAACAGCTAATGATAATAAAAATAATTTAATAATCAAGTTGAAGTCTCTTCTGGTTGCAATAATAGTCATTTTTGTTAAGATGAACCAAATCGATAGATAAACTTTAAGAGTGGTTTTTATATACATTCAATTTAAAGAATGTTAAAGATCTGATATAAGTCTAGATTCCTATTATAGGCCATAACAAAAAAACAAAACAAAGTTGTTTAAAAAAAGACATTACATAAAAAGGAGAATGACTTTGATGATGAAAATAAAACAATGTACAAAAATTTAACTGAGAATTGTTCTAAATAGTAGATAATGTGACACAGAAATCTAAAAGTCTATTTGTATATCACAGGTATCATCCAAGAGCTAAAAAAGTGCAGTAATCCTTCAATTGATGTGTTTTCAATTAGTGCACTAAAATTTTTATATACCAAAATTTGATTAGTGCATACATAATACTTGCTTAGTGCGCTAAAACATTCTTTAGTTTAACCATAGTAATTGAAGATCTTTTTTTTTTTTTACAGTTACTGATGTACACATTGACTATACTAATCAAGGGGTTCCTGTATTAAGAAATAGTAAAACTTCATTAGAAACAAAGAAAAGAGTGCTGAACAGTTATATAATATCAATTCTACTATATGGCAGTGAATGCTAGACAGTTTCCTCTCAGATGAAGAGATGTGAAGAAATACAAATGTAATTCTATAGAATGATATTGAGAATATGATGTAAGCCATGAGGAAATGTTATAGAACATGGAAACAAAAAGGACACTTTTACTGAGAATCAGAAACCTATTTGAAATTTCTAGAGCACATAAGGAAAGAGGGTTTGGAGAATTTTATACTCTCAGTACATACTGAAGACTGGCGGGGCAGAAGAAAACGGCAAATAACCTATCTAATGAGTTTTGTGTAAATGAATAGCAAAACAGGGACTGGAAAGGTTATTAAAAGGGAGAAAAACTACTGAGAGCTATAAAAGATAAAAAGATGCAAACTGATCGATTGATTCATTTTCTATGGCTTATCAAACCTTTGCAGGTTATTTAAAGCCAAAAAATATTTTTAGATTGCAGGAATATTTTTTTGAGAATATAATGGTTTAGTGACACAAGTCTTACTAATTAACCCATAGCTGGGAAGAGAAGAGGTGGATTCATACCTTTCCCAAAGGGTATTAGCACGTAAGTAAATATAATGAACTGAACTGGATTTGGATCTCAGCTCTCTGATTAACAATTCTGAGCCATTATCCATTAAACCATCCGTACATCCAAGCTTATAGTATGTAGTATTCCCAAGTGGCCACCCATCTAGATACTGACCAGTCTCCGTGTTTGCTTAACTTTGGTGATTACCATAATTCACCATGTATAATATGCCACCCTAAAATTGTGCTGAAAGTGTGGGAAAATAGTTCACACATAATATGCACCCCTTGTTTGGCAATCAAACCCTATAACTTGTACCTCTCCAATTTTATTATGGCAGGCGTTTCATACACTTATTTAAAAAAATGGTTTTAAATATAGAATAATAATATTCTAATTTAGTTTTGATAATACTTATTTTATTTTACAGCAATTTTTTAAAAGATTTTTTTTTGTAGCTGTGCATAATACGCAATTTTGCTTGATTTTTTTAAAGATTTTTTTGTTTGCAAAAGATTTTTTATTATTTTTAAAAGATTTTTTTTTGTAGCTGTGCATAATACGCACCCTTGATTTTGCTTATTATTTTTTAAAAGATTTTTTTTGTAGCTGTGCATAATACGCACCCTTGATTTTGCTTATTATTTTTTAAAAGATATTTTTTGTAGCTGTGCATAATATGCACCCTTGATTTTGCTTATTATTTTTTAAAAGATTTTTTTTTGTAGCTGTGCATAATACGCACCCTTGATTTTGCTTATTATTTTTTTAGAAAAAAATGGGTATTTTACATGAGGAATTGCGGTATATGGGAACCAATGTTTCAACGTAATGTAGCCATAACCCATAGGAAGATGTAGAGAGCCATGATCATCCATATCCTATATTGACACAACACACAAAGAAGATCCTTGTTGACATGTATATCTTTGTTTATCTGTTGTTGTGCCTGTATAACTGACCCCTAAATTTTATTGAGTGTTCAAACTTCTAACGTAATTTTAATGATATCAAGTAATTCACATCTTTGTTAAAGTTTCTTCTCCTGTTTTTATATCAACTCAACAAAGAAAAAGATTGACAGAATCTTTTATTTCAATAGAAATTTTTCCTCTTATTTTTAAATAACAATTTTAAGAAGCATGACCCTAGCAGGGGTATTAAGAAAAGGAAAACAAATAGAAATGCAAAGATAGAAAAAAATGAGAAGATTTATGAAAATATTAAGTAAGAAAAAGGATAACTTGAGAAAAAAAAAAAAAAAAAAGATTTAAGAAAAGAAAAAATAGATGACAATAAAAGAAAGAATAAAATTTTAGAGAAAAAAAAATCTTCTTACATTCTCTTTAGAAAACATTGGGAAAGAAAAAGTGGATGGTGGTACCACGCCTTCTGAAATTTGTTGCTGTTTTTTTTGTTTTTTTTTTTTTAAAGAAAAAAAATAAAAAATTAAATCCTATTCTTTTTGTATTCGACTTTAATAATCCATATTTCTTAGCATTGCATATGGCACTATCAACAAACAGAATACATTTTGTGAAAGTCAGTGAATACAAGTTAAAATTTTGACTATAGGCAGACATTTCTAAAGTCTTCAAGTGGGTATTTTAAACTCCATTTTTCTTCACCCTATAATTTTTTTTTCTTGAAACTATTTACCTTTTTACTTATCCTTTTCAAATGCACAATCTGTTATCCTCACATTCATTTTCTTTAAAATTACATTATTCCCCCTCTCCTTTATTCGTTAAAGTAAATACTATTTATTATGTAGATATACCCTTATATATATGTTTTGTTTATAATATTTTGTCAGTTTTTTTCCTTTATAGTCTCCAAATTTCTAAGTAACTTTCATTTTTTCAGTCCTATTCACTTAAGTTTCGATCACCAAATCATAAAAAGACTAAGTGAAGAAAATGATACATCTGCCTCTGAGTTAAAGTGGGGAGAGAGAACAAACAAGTAAAAAGGGAGAAGCAGAAAGAGAACAAGCAAATAGGGAGAGAAGTAAAAAAAGAGAATAATAGAGAAAGCAGGTAAAAAGAAAGGAGGAGGGAGAGTGAATGTAAAAAGGAAATGGAGAGAGTGAATATAAAAAAGGAAGAGTCAAAAGAAAGGAGGGAGAGAAAGTAAAAAAAATGAATGGATTAAAAAAGAAAGGAGGGAGAGAGAGCCAAAAGAAAAGAGAGCCAAAAGAAGTGATGTCTTGCAAGGAATTAAGAAAAGAGGAAAAAGAAAAGCAGAAATTAAATGTAATTGGAAATGAGAAATAATAGAAAAAGGAGTTAAAACATAAATAGGAAATAAAACAAAAGAAAAAAAAGGAAAATAAAATGAAAAGAAAGAATTGTGAAGGAAGTATAAGAAAAAAAGAGATTAGTACATGAGAGAAGTAGGAAGGGGATGCAAAAAGGAGAGAATAAAAGAAGAAACAGTGATAAAAATATTAAAAAATGTTTTTGCACTTTAAAAAATAAAAAAAATTAATATTAAAAAAATCAGTTTAATATAAGAAAAAGACAATAAAAAAAAAAACTAACTATAAACTAAAAAGAAAACTGATGTGCAAGCTCTCAATTGAGACGGGGTAACATTTTCAATTGGCATCTTTATAATCACTTTATGGTTTAAAGCTCTTTGTTCGACAAGGTTTCGGTTCCGGCTTTGTCGATCACTGAGGGGAATTGCATAAAGAAAAAGATTGTACTGCATTGTGCTCAGTTTTTTGACGGCTTTATCCTGAAAATCTGCAGGAATTTAGTAACCAAAAGGCGACGCTTTTGAAGACGGCTTGCGGCTAAATTCATTCCAGTCAGAATGGATAAATGTTGAAGGTTTCAAATACAGATACACTCTAAAGACAGACTTGTAGCTTGAAGGCTCTTATAAAGCTAAAGGGGGGGAGGAGAAAGTGGGGAAAATAAATGAGATACAAAAAAAAAATATCACTCAACTGTCTGCTTGATTATTATTTTTTGTAAGTTTTCTGGTGAAGTAAAGAAAAAAGAAATGGTAAAAAAAGAATTAAATCAAAGAATAAATGGGAAGTATGAAGAAAATGGAAAACCAGAAGAAGTAAAAAGAAGAAAAAAAAAATGATGGTAGGGGAAGGTTTTTTTTCTTTCTTTCTTTTTTAATATATAAAAATCAATATTTTGTGAAACTCTTTCAGTGTTATTCCTTTAATTTTTCTTGTTTTTTTTTCTTTTCTTCACTTAACCTTATTATGTTGAATTTTCTTTTTAAATACAGACATGCATGATTGTGTATATGTTGACAAATTGAGTGTATACATATTTAACCAGGCATTAAATATCTACACACACAAGATTTCAAGAAACATTAATGTTCAATTACACATGTATATACAAAATCAAGTATGTAGTAGAGTTGGAGACATACATATATATATATACACACACACACACATGTAAGACTTAAGGATATATTATGTGATAAAAGTTTATTGAATGGATATAGGTGTACAGATGTTTTTCTATTTGAGTATGTGTGGAAGGGTGTCAAATGCATAAACCAGTACAAAACAAATGAATAAACGCCTACATAATAATCATTTAGTCATGCATAAATTTGACTTCCAGTCTTAAATATTCAAGATTTAGAGTTTGAAACTATGAACAGGGAATCTGAAAGAGAAATTAAGTTTGACTCCTTTGGAATTTCGTGTTTATAAGTCCCCCAAAAATTGGTATGGTTCAGATCATATGTTTGTTTAGTTTGCCTAAATAAGCATCTTTCTTATGCTTACTTATATTTAGACATAACAACTGAAATTGTAGAAATTCCATGGTGCATAATACAAAACTAAAAAACTGATACATTATTCAGACTATTGTCCTCATCTTTGTTGCCATATTTATCACAACGTTTCCGCCGTTGTACGCTCCGACCTTCTTCAGGTGGTTGGAATTTTGAACTGAACCCTTTATTTCGCTCACTGGGGTAGACTGTTCTAGTTCCACATTTGATGGATGTCAGTTATCAGTTATCTCCTGCTAATTTCCCTCTGAAAGTTCTCCACTGCCTTAACCGGGTATTGAACTCACACTCTTTGGGTCCTGTCACTGGATCTAACCAACGCCTTTATCTACAGTGCCACGTGTCTTAGGATCCTAGTCATCAGAGAGAAATGCTGACATTTTCAATGAAGCTGCCATAGCATGCTAAAAGGCACTAAGGGACAGCAAAGACAACATTCATTTAAAGAAAATAAATAATGAGAAAACATCATATGGTTTAACCCCTACCCCATAATAATAACCTTAAAAATAGAGTGGCCAAAAATGTTTCTAAATTGTTAAACATTTTACTAATTAACCAGAGTTGAAAATGTCATTTGACAGAAACTATTTGAAGGCAAGATATAGCTGCAATCAACAGTATAGAAAAATAATGGAGGGATGTGATAGCAAGGAAAGCTTTTTGACTAGGAGTAACTTTTGTTAAGTTTAAAAAATGTATCCAATGAAAAAGCCCAAGATGTGAACTACAAATTGGAGATGTTAACATCAAACAAGTACAGAAGTTTAAATATCGGGTGAGCTTTTTTACAGAGGGTGGAAAATGTGACACTGAAATCCAAACATGCAATAGACTCATAAAAGAGGTATACCAACAGCCATCACAAAGAGAAAAAGCTCAAGATGTGGACTACAATTTGGGGATGTAAACATCAAACAAGTACAGAAATTTAAATATCTGGTAAGTGTTTTAACAGAATGTTGAAAATGTGAGACTGAAATCCAAATGTTCATTTGATTAACAAAAGATGCATTCAAAAAGTTAGACAAAATATTAAAAAAACAGGAAAAATTTCATTAGAAACAAAGAAATAAGTGCTGAATTATGTAATGTCAATCCTCTTTTATGGCAGTAGATACTAGAAAATTTCTTTTTAAATGAAAATAAGACTGGAGGCAAAAAAAATGTGGTTTTACAGAAGGATGCTGAGATTTCTATGGATAGAGCATGTTAGCAATGAAGAAGTCTTAAGGAAATTGGAAACAAAAAAGACACAGAATCAGAAAGAGATAGCTACAATAATTTAGACTTACAATGAGGAAGGAGTGCTTGGAGAATCTGACACTTGCAGGACATTGATGGAAAAAGGGACAGCAGAAAGCAGTGGGCCATCTACCTAACAAACTTAAGTGAATGGATGGCAGAACAGGGGCAGGAAGCTTGGCAAAGTGACAAACACTCAAAGTCTGTAAAACATATGTGGTGGTGGTGGTGGTGTACAATCACTATTGTCATGTCCTTTTGTACATGGCATATAAAAGAATCAGATCAGGTGTATCTTCTATGATTTTTCTTTTACTGTTCAGATTTTGTAGGCTCAAAAATAGTTCTGTTGCAGGGATTGCAATGCCAGGAATATGGATTAAATCAGAAAGGAGGTCATTAGGACTTTTAAAGAACTGGGCTTTGACATCAAAATTAAGACTAATTTAAAAACGGTGAAATTCTTTTAAGTCATATTTGATATCCCTAAAGATGCACACCACCAATACAAGAAAAAAAAATACACATACTTATATCAAGACATCATGAAATCACTAACTGACCATTTTCAAACAGATACTGGTAGACTATGTGATAGTAATAGGTGTTTTTGATCAGGCAAAACCTCAATATGAAATGGCATTAAGAAAAAATGGATATAGTCCTGATTTTAACAATAGTAGAAGGAAACAATTATAACAATGAAGCTACAAATTGATTAATAGCAAATTTTAATATGAAAACATTGACTTGCTTAATAAAATCTGACATAGCAGATAGAGCGTTATCAATTCTATTCAGCTTTATCTTTTGTCTCCGATTTCATAATAGAAGGTATGAGTATTGAGATTCTGGCAAGATTTGAGGTTTTATTTTAAATTGAATCTCAAAGCTGTTGAAGTTCATCACAGAATTCATTGAGTGAAAGGAAATGAAACAATAACTGATCAGACTACTTAAAACTGGTTTAAACATTTTCAGTGCGGTGATAGGTGATTGTTAGAGAACTAAAATTCTAAGCCGGATTCATTATTGGTGGCCCTAATCTTAACAACATTAGATATGCAGCTGACACAGTGTTTATAGGTGACACAGAAAGGAAACAGAAACTCCTACAGAAAGCAGTAAAGAAAAGTGAGAAGAAAGGACTAAACATTAATTATAAGAAGACAGATTATATGTTTGTCTGCACAAAGATGAGACCAACATGTGAACTACAAATTAGAGATGCCAAAATCAAGCAAGTACATGAATCAAAATATCTAGGAAGTATTTTAACAAAGGACAGATAGTACCATAATGAAATCCAAAGGTACATTTTAATAGTGAAAGTTTTCTTCCTAAAGCTAAGCAAAGTATCAGAAAAAAAGAAAATGTCATTAGAACCAAAGTAAATAGTACTTAACTGTGATGCAATATTGGTCTTCCTGAAGAAAAAAACTTGAGGCAACAAGAATGTGGTTCTACAGGAGGATGCTGAGAATACCATGGACTAAACATGTAAGCAACAACAAACTTTTAGGAAAAATGGAAACAAAGACACTTATAGTTAACATCAGAAAGGAGAGAGTTGAAATTTCTAGTTGAAATTTCTTCTTTTTGAAGCCCTCTTTCTGTAGGAAAGAGGGCTTCAAAAATTAATATTAATGTTATTATTATATATCATTATCATCACTATTCAGCTGTATCTTCAGTTTCATATTTTGTTATGTTATGCATAAGTATTAAGAGTCTGGCAATTTTGAGGCTTTATTTTAAAATGAATCTCAAAGCGATTGAAAATGCTCACAGAATTCACTGAGTGAAAGGAAATGAAACAGTAATTGATCAGACTATTTAAAACTGGTTTAAACATTTTCAGTGTGGTGATAGGTGATTTGAAGGGAATTACAATTTCTACCAGGAATCATTTTTTTTAATCATTTCGCCCCAAGCAAGACAGGAATGCCACCAGTACCCAGGGGATTACAGAGAGTGAAGGTGAGAGAAAAGACTGGGTATAGGGAGACCAAGGAAAGAATATAAGCTGAATGGGGTTCAAGAAGTCAGATGGTGATTGACATTGCATTTAAATTTTTGAAGATTGTAGTTATCAAGGAAGCAATGAAATGGAAGGGAGTTCCACAGGTGAGAAGTGCAAGATAAGATGTTTCAGTAGAAGTGGCAGTTACATTTAACTAATTCAGTATTAAAAGGGTGGAACCTAGATTCCAATCTAGTAGCATGCTTAAACTCACATAGTTGGGGCACCAGAGAAAAAAAAACTTGTCAGAGCAGTAGCCATAAAATTTGTAGGAAAGACAGAGGGAAGCCATGTCACATCTGTGAGAAAATGACTGAAGTCAAAATGACATGTTAGGATCGATTCCATTGCAGATCCTTCTTTGGATTTTGTCAAGAACCTTGAGGTGAGTAGCAAAAGCACCTAACCAGATATAGCAACAGTATTCAATGCATGGTCAAATGGTAGATTTTTAAATGTGCAAGATGGACTCTGATGAGAAAATCCTTCTGGCACGACATAGTGACACAACTTTCCTTGCAGTAGATGCAGCTATTGATATGATGTAGTCATTCCAAGTCAGTTGAAAACATGAGGCCAAGAAAGTGCAGTGAGAATAGCAGCAGCTATGTTGATGGTGGGTAGAAAAGTTCTCTATGGTGGTTAAATGGGAGCAGTTTAGTTT